CTATGCACCCAGAGGAGCTGGAGGTGCTGGGCTCACTCCCCCAGGCAGACTGAATGGAGGGGCCCCCAGTCGGCAGGCCTCTTCCCGGTGTTCGGACTTCAGTAATGGACCAAGGACCCGACAGATCAGTCTGCCTTAGGGAGAGTTAGGCAGTGGAAGACCTTAGGCAGCTGCCTAACTCACCTAATTATAAAGCAGTCTCTGCCGCTCAGACACAGCAACAATATGGACCTTCTAGAAAAGAGGGACATTAGGACAGAAAAGAGGGTCATCGGGATTCAGGATGCAAATAGGGTCTGTGGGACAAATGGGAGTTGCGTTTATTCTATCACAATTTCACCCTTCCTGGTTAAGTGCACACATACACATTAAATGTCATTTTTTTTTTTTTTAATTAAATATGGCTTTCTGCTACTACCATGCTACCCACCTCCAGTCCTTTACTATTTGAATAATTTTGTGGTAGTTAACTAACGCTATACCAACCCCCTCCCGCCTCAATGCTATACCATCCATACCCCTTACCCTAACCATATATTGTTCTCATATTTTGTCACAAAGTATTAACACTAACATACACTAACTCTAACCCTATCCTACCCCTACTTTGAGCACTGCATACAGCTCATTGTTAAACCTGGGGAGGCTAAAAAATTATACTTGGCTCTCCCTAGTGTGTGCAGGTATTTAACCATGTGCATCCCACATAGCGGCAGTCATGCGTACGATGTACCTGTCAGTCTGAGGCCACTACAAAAGTCCCTAGCTGACAAAGGGGAACTCCAGATATTTATTGATACTTGGGTTTCCTTGTGTGAGCATGAATTTGATCCTGCTCAGGTTGCATTACATCCTATGGGGATTTAAATGCCAATTTTAAGAACTGTATACAGCTCATCTGTCTTTCTAGTGCCACTAAAACTTGGCCCCAACTGACAGGGGAGCTCCAGGTGCCTATCGCCATTTTTACTCACACCAAAACTGCAGAACATTCCATGCCTTCCTAACAACTTTAACCCCTTAAGGACCAAACTTCTGAAATAAAAGGGAATCATGACATGTCAGACATGTCATGTGTCCTTAAGGGGTTAAAGCCCACTATATGGCATTAAATATCCACTCTGAGCATCATAACAACTTAATTTGAATTTCGTTGTTATGGTGGCATGAGGTCCATGGCACTGGCTTTTCTTCAGTCTTGAATTCAGCACCGTTTAGCTCTTCCCATGCCCTTCAGCTTCACAGAACCCTTGGACAGCCTCAGACAGGGATGCCGGGGATTGGTTGAAATTGTCAGCTGACGTTCTAATCCAGTCAGTAGCTCCCCAATTCATAAAACAGCTTGAGGAGAAAAAATAAATTCCTGAAAAATATATATATTTTTCTCAAGCTGGTTTTATGAGCTGGGAGCTATTAATTGGCTATTTGAGGCTCCCAGTTATAAATATGCAATTTCTTGCAAAACATACACAAAAAAATCATCAAATAAAAATGACATATTTAACCCTTTAAGGTGAAATACATTTCTTTTTCTTAAATGTAACAAAGAAGCCAACTCTTTTGAACGCACTTTTTTTCCCATCTTTCTTAAAAAGTAAAATATAGAATTTTTAGAGCTACACCATCACTAGGTTTACTGTGGGGGAGTGGCTCCCCCAAGACCCCTTCCTACACCCATGGTGATTTAGTAGAAATATTAGGCATGATATAGTCATAAAAATGTTATAAAGTCTATAGTCTATGTCAGTATTTGTAGCAATTTGTTTATTCATTTTATGCTGTCAACCCATGCTGACAGGTACACTAGAGGTTTCACACTGGGGAGGAAATGATGAATTGTATATATGCAGTAATAATATTTTTGTAACTCATCGTATGTTACTAACACAAAAGCTGCAGTTTGTCCACCATAACAGTATTCCCATCTAACATTACAGTTGACATATCTCAGCTTTCCTGTAAATAAGTAAGCTCTCTGCCTGCTTCCAGGTATCCAAGGAAACTAATTGCAGATTATATGTAATTATGGCCAAGCAAGTTAATTTGTTGTACAAATGACTAAAACTGGGATACTGCAGATTTAACCTTTAAGAAGCTGCACTGTGCTGGGAATAATGGCTCAAGCTGATGACACAAAATCACTAGCAGTGATGGAACAGAAAACAAACACATTCCTACACAGGAGGTTGTACATTGGAGATAGCATATTCAGCAGCTACACATGAGATGCTGCAGAGGTGGGTTAGATTAAGGTTAGGAAGATTTATGATTAAAGGGTTACTCCAACCACCATGACCACTTTTGCTTTTTGAAGTGGTTATGGTGGTAGGAGTTTGAATGTGCAGTGTTTCAGCTTTAAACACTGCACATCCA